CACATAGCCAACTGTAATATGAAAGGTACTTGCAGAGTGAGGTGGGGAAACTCGGACTGCACTGTATTCAAACTCTCCTGATGGCACTAGAAAAAGGCTATCCATTAAGACTGATGTGAATTGGGACCTGGACAGATGGTTCAGAGGTTAAGAGGACTTGCTGCTCTTCCAAGGGACCCAAGTGTGGTTCCCAGCACCCACATCCAGTAGCTCAAAACTGCCTATAACTCCAGCTCCAGGGAATCCAACACCCCTTTCTGGCCTCCACAGGCAGTCACACACATGTGGGCATACACAAATAAACATGTATTTGTGTATTTATTTCAACCTTATGCATATTTTCAATTATACTAGACAACTGGATATGCTGAGTAATAAAAAAGCGCCTCTCAGATTTTCTTTATGTTTTCAGCAAACAAATCTCACAGCAATCCAAATTGTTTATATGGCTTATTTCTTATTCCTTTCATTAAAAATTTTTATTTCTGGGGCCTAGAGAGAGATGGCTCAGTGATTAAAAGCACTTCCAGCTCTTGTAAAGGACTCGGGTCGATTCCCAGCACCCACATGGTGGCTAACAACCGTCGGTAATTCCAGTTCCAGGGGATCTGACGCCCTCTTGTGACCTCCTCAGGCACTGCACAACACACGTGCACTTACATACATGAGGGCAATACACTCATACACATAAAAAATAAAAATAAGAAAATATTTTAAATTTTTATTTCTATTTATTTATTTATTAGGTAACATGTTCATATGGTTCAAAATTCAAGAGAGTTAAAAAGTCAAGGCCCACATTTATTGGGAGGACCTCAAGTTCAACAAGGCCCTGGACAAAGTTGTTAACCTTTTATTGGAAGGGCCTTAGAAAAGAGGTGAATCCCCTCGTATCTGTATGTACTTCTCTGGTCAGAAAATTTGCATATGGCTCACCACATTTGTCAAAGGGAACTGTGACCCAAACAGAAGAATTGCTGTCCCATAATATCACTTATACACAGGTATTTAATAAACACTTATTAAACAGAACTTTATTCTGGGTTTTGTTAGGCTTCTTTTTGTGTTAAAAATTGAAGGGCAAAATTAAATAGCAATGTAATACAAAATTCTTGTCTACTTTCTAGAACCTTTTCCTTTTCTTGTTTTTTGTTGTTTTTTTTTAATTTTGTTTTGTTTTCATTTTTGACACAGTATCATCCTGTAGTCTCAGCTGACCTAGAACTCATTATGTAGACCAGGCTGGCCTCAATCTCACAGCAATCTACCTGCCTCTGCTAAGATTAAAGGTGGGCACCATACAGCCACCTAGAACATTTTCCTCTTAACAGGTTTTTGGTTTTTTTTTTAATGATTAATTTAGCCCTTTTTTTTCTGCAAAGAAGTTTGCTTTAAGTACTAAAAAAAATAAACTAGGAGCTAGGGAGATGGCTCAGTCAGCATTTACCACACAGCATGAGGACCTGATGAATCCCCAGCACCCATATAAAAAGCCAGGCATGGTGGCAAGCATCCTACCACTAATGAGATGGAGACAGATCCCTAGAGTTTACTGGTCAGCCAACATAGCAAACTGGTTGAGATCCAGGTTCAAAGAGAGACCCTGTTTCAAAAAGTAAGGTGGGTCTGAGGAGATGGCTCAGTAGGTAACAGTATTTGCTGAACAAGCAAGAGAACCTGAGTTTGGATCCCCAACACCCACATAAAACTGGGTATGGCCATATGTGCCTGTAATTCCAGCACTGAGGGAAGCAGAGCCCGGAAGGTACCCTGGGGTTTGCTGGCCAGTCAGCCTAACAGAGAAACAGCAAGTCCCAGGTTCAGTGACAAGACCCTGTCTCAAAAGGCTAAGGCAGACAGTTATAGTAGGACACCCAATATCCTCCTCTGGCTTCCACGAGCACAGTACACACACATACACAAAAAATTGAAACAGAAGCCTAGAAAGAACCTTGGTGATCAAAAATTAGTCATACAATCTGCTGCTTACCATAACATGAGGCATCTATGATGCCCCCATTTTTTTTTAAACAGTCTCATGAGCCCAAGTTGGCCTTGAACTATGTAGGGAGGCTTGACTTGGAACTCCTGACCCTCCTGCCTCCATTTCTCAAGTACTGAATCGACAAACATTCACCACCATTCCCAGCTTACTCAGCCCCTCAAAAACCTATGTAAACATCTATAAAATGTTCAAATAATTTTTTTTTTATTTAAAAAACCAAACAAAGAAAAACACCCCATGTAACTTTCCAGCATCCTTTCTGAGAAAACCATTAGCCCTGGAACAATGGTATAATAACTACTGCATGCCAGGCTCAGAATGAAAGTTGTACATATAGTTTGTTTAAAGGGGGGAGGGGTTGGGTTTTGTGTATGTCTGTGTGTGAACATGTTCATATGTGTGAATGTATGTGGCATGACTATACATGCACATGTATACATGTGTATATGTATACATGTATGTACATGCATGTCAGAGGTCAAACTCAGGGTCTTCCTCAATTGCTCTCCACCTTTTTAAAATACTTTATTATTTTTATTTTATGTGTATGCGTGTATCGCCTGCATGCAGATAAGTGCACCTGTGTCCTGCAATGCCCATGGAGGACAGAAGAGGCTGTTGGATCCCCTGGAACTGGAGTTACAGACAGTTGTTAGCTGCCATGTGGGTGCTGGGATTCGAACCCCGGTCTTCTGCAAGAACAGTCAGTGTTCCTAACTGCTGAACCATCTCTCCAGCCCCTCCACCTTATTTTTTTTAAGATTTATTTATTTGGGGGGGTATAAATGCCTGCCTGAATGGATGCATGTGGATTATGTACATGCCTGGTACCCAAGGAGGCCAGAAGAGCATATCATTCCCTAGAACTGGAGTTAGGGATGGTTGTAAGCCACCACATGGGTGCTAGAAACTGAATCAGCAGTCCTCTGAAAGAGCAGCAAGTACTCTTAACTGCTGAGCCATCTTTCCAGCCCCTCCACCTTATTTCTTGAGGCAAGGTACCTTACTCAACCTGGAGAACATGGATTCTGCTAGGCTAGCTGGTCAAGGAGATTTGGAATCTGTTTCCACTCCCCCAGAATGGCGTTACACACACACACCACACACCACACCACACCACACACACACACACACACACACACACACACACACACACACACATATGCCTGGATTTTATGTGGATCCTGGGGACCCAAACTCAGATTCTTAGGCTTGTAGATACCAACTGAACCATCTCTCCAGCCCTTAACTTTTTTTTTAATTTTCAAAACAATCACTTAAGATAGTTATTATTCACCCTATCCTTGTTGCAAGTAAAATAGAGACAAAGAGATTAAAGTTAATCTACTTGTTGGGTATGATTTGCTCACAGCAGTAATCCCAGCACTTGGGCGGCTCAGGCAGGAGGATTCACACAAGTTAACCTACTTTCTTGTGCAGGACCAGACAACTATTAAACATACTAATATAACTATAAGCTATTAAAACTAAAACACTGTTCCATTCTTCATCATCAAAACTCAAAATCTCAAACTTTCTACAGTACCAGGGTTCCTAAATTCCAAATGCAATGCTGATCGTTTTAAACAGGTATTAGACAAGTATAGCACAGTAGTCAGGAACACTAAGTTCTAGCTCTGGTTCAACCATCTCCCTGATGTATGACAAACTGTTCAAATGGTGCCATTACTGACTATAAAACTGGATTGTAGAATACCTGGAAGGTGGAGGCAGGAGGACCAGGAGTTCAAGGCCAGCCTGACCTTTATATACATACATAGCAAGTTCAAGGCCTAGGCTACACAATACCCTGTCCCAAATTTAAAAAAAAAAAAAAAAAAAAAAAAAAAAAAAACATTAAAAGAATTTTTTATTTACTTATTTTTTTATTGTGTATGAGTGTTTTGCCCACCTGTATGTAAGTTCAACCGTGTCATACAATGTCCACGGAAGCCAGAAAAGGGTATTGGATCCTCTGTAACTTTTTTAAACTGGGATTACTGTGGGTTAAATTTTTTAAAGTATTTAAAGCTAACAGCTCACAAACTGACCAGAAGAAGATGACTGATCCCAAGTGCCTACTTTCATTATCATTAGAAAAGAAAAAAGGCAAGAAGGAATAAAGAAACCAAAGAGCTAAATTTTTTCCAAATTTGGCAGAACACTTTTCCCCCTGGAATGATGGCATTCTGACAAGCTGAAGAATGACAGAAAAAAATGTATATCTTATTGTTAAATATCTTCTGGTTTAAGAGAATTTCTTCAGTTGTCCTTTAAATTAAAATTTATTTCAAACACATGACTGTACTTATTACCACGCCACCATGAACGGCTCACTGCCAGCTCTTATTTCACCCTTGAACTATTTGAATGTCCTGTACACAAAATTATGCACTGAGGTTTGGGAGGGGTTTTTTTTGGATTATTATTTAACAGATGATAAGAAATGACAGTTGTCAAATAGATCATCCGTTTCAACTCGTTATATTTTTTCATTCCTGGTAATCCTGGTTATCCGTTCAATTCCTATGAATTAACTCTAAACAAAGTAAAACTACTTCCTCTTGGCATCAACGCTCAAAACGCCCGAGACCAGCACTTTGGGAAGAAGCTGATGAAGACCGAGATTAATTTAGCCCTAAGAAAGGAAAGTTTGTTTCATTCTTCTGACCAAGGCTTGAAGTCACAGCTTTCGGAAGCACTCCAACTGAGATGTGGGACCACGCTGAACAAGAAAATAACTTTTAACTCCGTGTCCCCATCACCATTCCTCTTCCTCCCTCCCTTCCCCCCAAGAGTGGGGGGTGGGGGCGAGAGTGCCGCGTAGCTGTAGCCTCCCTGTGCGCCGCTGCGGCGGTGCGCCCCAGCCGCGAGTGCGGCCCCTCGAGCACCCTCCGCCGTCCTCCCCAGCCCGCAGTGCATCGGCACCCCGTCCACACCCGACCTGCAAAGGCCCCCAAGCCCCCGAGCTGCACAACCTCCCCGGGCGGCTCACCATCGCAGCCCCACAACCGAGGAGGAGCAGGTGGGCAGGCCGCCAGCTGGGAGAATCCGTTATCGGTGTTCGGGATCCATTGGCGCCAACAACTTCTCCCGCGAAGTAGCAAAAGCGCAGGCGGCGGCGCGCGGCGATGACGTCAGGAGTGTGCCCGTTCGGCCCCTCCGGGAGGCGGGAGGTGCGCGGAGAGCCCGGAACCGCTCTTACTGCCGCTTCGGTGGAGCGCGGTGTGCGCGTGCGTTCGTGATCTTCCTCCTGTTTTGGCCGGGATGCCCAATGTGGGGGTGTGAGGCTGGTTTCCTCTCGAGGTGGGCACCCAGGTTGCTTCCTTTCCTTCTGGTACACCTGTGGCCAGGGCAGTGCTCCACGAGAACTTTGAAAAGTTTTCACTACCACCCCAAGATGAAAGGGATTCAGTGTGTATTTCACCTATCACCTGTTAAATCTCTTCTGAAAGTGTCATCAAACAGTATTTATCCTGATTTGGAGTTGTTGAGGGTTCGTTTGTTTGTTTTAATGTTTGACCTACTGATTTGGCTCAAACTACCCACAGTTAAACCATCAGGCTAAGGACAGTCTTGACCCTTTTTTTTTTCAATTTTTTTTTTTTTTCGTTACATTTATTTATTGGGGAAAGGCCAGAGGACAACTTGTGGGAGTCAGTTCTCTCCTTCCACCATGTGAGTCCCAGGATCGAGGCAACCTTATCAGCCTTGATGGCAAGCATCCTTACCCTCTGAGCATGTGTATATGTATAAATGGTTACATTTAAGGGACTGTTTTTTGAGGGGGAAGGGGTTTGAGACAGGATCTCATATATCCCAGCCTGGCACTTTGCAGCCGAACTTCTCATTTTCTCCTGCCTTCCAAGTGCTGGGATTGCAGGTATGCTCCAACATGCCTGGTTTATGCAGTTCTGGGGACCAAATTCAAGGCTAGGCAAGCATGCTACCTACTGAGCCCAGCCCAAAGGGAACTTGTTCTAAAGCTACCTAGCTAGGAAATCTACAGCCCTCCTAAAGTGTCACCAAATCTCTTAACAGGGGTGAACCGAAGTATACCAAAGTACATAAGGAAAAACTAGGATCAGGATTTAGAATAAACAAGTATCAGCAGGGAGGGAGATTGCTTTGTCATTGTTTTTAGCTGGTCTTGGTATGTAACTCAGGTTGGCCAGGAACTCATGATCCTCCTGCCACCCCCCTCCCTACTGCTGCGATTACAGGCATGGACCACCACAGCTGACCAACAAATTTCCTATTTATAAATAAGCAACAGCCTTGTGGGATAGAATGTAATATTTGCATACAATTTCAAGGTACAATGAATTTGTCAAAGAATTTAATGAGAGCAATAGCTAACAGAGGCCACAGACTTTCAGATTTTTTCTGTAGACCCCCTGATGGGTCTTGCTCTTTTATGACAGCAGTATCTACCATGAAAGGCAGCAAAACCTTCTGGAATACAAGATTTGGCATTACTAGACACGTACTGTGACAAGTACCCCACATGGAGCTTTAGAGTGTTCTAGTTTAACTCATCCCGCCCCCAACCACTGCTAATAGTAATAATCCCCAATTCACAAACTTGTTACTCAAGAGCAGGACTTCACTGTCTGGGTCCCTCTGAAGCCATATGCTAGGTTCCCACCCCCACTACATGCTAGTTATGCGGCCATAGGCCACTATGCCTCAGTTTCCTCATTTGTTAAAGCTAGCACTGTGGTGATGGATTGGTTTGGTTTGGTTTGGCTTGGGTTTGGGTTTGGGTTTATTTCAGACACTCTCAATATATAGCTGAGGCTGGCCCAAACTTGAGAGCCTCCTTCCTCAGCCTCCCAAATACTGGGATTACAGGTAAGCACCACTACACGTGGGTGATAATAATGGAGAGGGGGGTGTCTTTGGTTTTGGTTTTCTTTTTTGTTTTTAATGTTTTATTTTTATTTTATGTGTATGTGTATTGCCTACATGTATATAAGTGCACCTGTGTCATGCAATGCCCATGGAGGTCAGAAGAGTACATCAGATCTCCTGGAATTGGAGTTAGAGACTGTTGTCAGCCACCATGTGGGTGCTGGGAATCAAACCAGGTCCTCTGCAAGAGCAGCCAGTGCTCTTAATTGCTGAGTCATCTCTCTAGCCCCAACAGTGGGGTTTTTTTTACTTCTTATTTTTTATTTTATGTGTATGAGTATATTGCCTGCATGTATGTAAGTGCACCCATGTCATGCAATGTCAACAGATCAGAAGAGGGTATTGGATCCCCTGGAACTGGAGTTACAGACAGTTATTAGCCACCATGTGGTGCTGGGAATGGAACCTGGGTCCTCTGGAAGAGTAACCGGTGCTCTTAACCACTGACCCATCTCTACAGCCCCATAATAGTGTTTTAACTCAAGCCTGACAATCTGAGTTTAATCCCCAGGACCTACATAATGGAAAGAAGTAACACTTACAAGTTGTCCCTTGAACCTCACGTGAGCACCATGGCATATGCCTGCGCACGCATACACACACACAAATAAGTAAATAAATAAAAGATAATTTTAAACATTCTTACATATATTTAACTTTTTAAAACTTGCATTCTAGGGGCTGGAGAGATGACTCAGCAGTTAAGACCACTGGCTGTTCTTGCAGGGGACCCAGGTTCAAATCCTAGAACCCAGTTGGCAACTAACAACTGTTCCTAACTCTAGTGCCAGGGGATCTGACACCTTCTTCTGTCCTCCTAGGGCACTGCACGACATGAGTGCACATACATTTGGGCATAGCACTCATACACATAAAATAAAAAATCAAAAAGAACTTTGTTCTAAAAAAAATTTTTTTTTGGTCTTTTTTGAGACAGGGTCTCCCTGTATCCCCAGCTGGCCTGGAACTCATTATGTAGACCAGGCTGGCCTCAAACTCACAGAGATCCGCCTGCCTCTGCCTCCTAAGTGCTGGGATTAAAGGCATGCGCCACCACACCCAGCCTCATTCTAAAATATTTATTGTAAAACAATTGTAATTACCAATAGCTTATCTTTTATATATATTTAACTTTTAATTACATTTGTTTACTTATTTATTTCTGTATGTATGTGAATGTACACTTGCTCACATGTAAAAGGCAGAAGGTAGGAACTAACTCCACAAAGTTATCCTCTGACCTCCATATGCACCTTGTGGCACACATACAAACACATACATATATGTAATAATAAGTAAAGTTTCACAAAGCATGGTGGTACACACCTTAATTCCAACACTCAGGAGGCAGAGGCAGGCAGATCTCTGTGAGTTCAAGGCCAGCCTGGTCTACATAGCAAGTTCCAAGCCAGCTGGGGCTACAGGGAGACCCTATCTCAAAAAGACCAAAAAGGAAAAAAAAAATGAAAGTTTCCATTTTATTGAAAGGTGGAAAGGATAACGGGAGAAAACTGTGAGTGATCCAGATGACCGCTAAGAAGGGACAATGATCTGAGACTTGAGGGTTGGGAAGCCCATGGCAAGGGCAAAGACCCTGTTTTGGGAGTAAGTTAAACACATTCAAGGAACAAGAAAGCAAGTTTTTCTGGATGTTGTGGTAAATGCCTTTAATCCCAGCTCTCAGGAGGCAGAGGCAGGTGGATCTCTGTGACTTCAAGGCCAGCCTAGTCTACATAGTGAGTTCCAGGCCAGCTAAAGTTACATGGTTATGAGAGCAATCCTCATTAAGCTGTGCTAATGTGGAGAGATTTTATGAGTCCATTAAGGAGGTTTTATTTCATTCTAAATAATGAGAGGGCCTTAAAAGACTTTTTTAAATTTTTATTTTATATGTCTGAGCGTTTTGCCTGCCTGTATGTCAGTACACCATGTGCATGCAGAGACCAAAAGAAAGCATCAGATCCCCTGGAACTGGAGTTACAGTTTTTCACCACCATGTGGGTGCTAGGAACTGAATCCGGGTTCCCTGCAAGAGTAGTCATTGCTCTTAGCCACTGAGCCATCTCTCCAGCCCCATGCCTAAAAAGATTTTAAACTTGCCAGGCATGGTGGCACATGTCTTTCATCTCAGCACTTGGGAGACAGAGGGTCTCATCTCTGAGTTCAAGGCCAGCATGGTCCACATAGCAACATAGACCCTGTCTCAAAAAAATCAAGACAAAACTAAACAAAACATTTTTAAAAAGATTAAGTTCAGCTGGGCGTGGTGGCACATACCTGTAGTCCCAGCACTTGGGAGGCAGAGGCAGGTGGATCTCTGTGAGTTCAAGGCCAGCCTGGTCTACATAGTGAGTTCCAGGACAGCTAGGGCTACAGGGAGACCCTGTCTCAAAAAGACCAAAAGAAAAAAAAAAAAAGACACATTGTGCTGGGTATGGTGGTGCATGCCTTTAATCCCAGCATTTAGGAGGGAGAGTGTGCTGGATAGCTTTAGTGTCAACTTGACACACCTGGGTTGAGGGAGCCTCAATTGGGGAATTGCCTTCATTGGACTGGCCTGTGGCTATGTCTGAGGGGCGTCTTCTTGATGATTGATGTGGGAGGGCCCAGCCCACTGTGGGTGGTGCCACCCCTGGGCACGTGGGCCTGTGTTGCATAAGAAAGCATGCTGAGCAGGGGCCAGGGGAGCAAGCCAGTAAGTAGCATTCCTCTATAGCCTGTGCTCTAGCTCCTGCCTCCAGGTTCCTGCCCTGAGTTCCTACCTTGGGCTCCCAGATGAACTGTGACCCGGGAGATGTAAGCTAAATAAACCCTTTCCTCCCCAAGTTAGTAGTGGTCAGAGTATTTTGTCACAGCAATGAAGAACAAACTAGGATACAGAGGAAGGTGGATCTCTGTGAGTTCAAGGCCAGCCTGGTCTACTTAGTGAGATCCAGGCCAGCTGGGGCTACAGGAAGACCGTTTCTTTTAAAAAAAAAAAAAGGAAAGAAAGAGACACATTGTTTAATGTATTTGTATGTCTGTGTATAAGTATATACATGTGAAGGTAGGTGCTCATGAGGCCGGAGACATTGATCCTCCTAGAGCTAGAGTTATAGGTGGCTGTGAACCATGCAAGGTGGGTGCTAGGAGCCAAACGTGGTTCCTCTGCAAGAGCAGTATATGCTCTGAACTGCTGAGCCATCTCTCTAGCCCAGGAAAGACTTTTTTTTGGGGGGGTGTCTTTTTGAGACAGGGTCTACCTTTAGCCCCAACTGTCCTGGATTCACTATGGAGACCAGGCTGGCCTTGAACTCAGAGATCCACCAGCCTCTGCCTCATGTGCCACCACTCCTGGCTCAGGAAAGACACATTTTAAGGTGTTACATAGTGAATCTGATTACACAGTG